AATCCCTTCTCCATCTCTCTCCACAGCTGCCTACCTGTCCACTTCCAAGGAATCAAAGAAGGTAACAGCACTTCACCTTAGCCTTCTTTCTCATTTCAATCCCTTCCCCCAACTCCTCACCCAATGGAGGGAGGCTCCTGGCATTATTGGCAGAACCCATACTTGGAATTCACACAGACCTGGGTTAAATCCTGCCACCTTGCACATGCTACTTAACCGACATCTCAGTTTCTTCGAGTGCAGGGATAAAAAAAATTACTTAGGTAGCTCTGTCCAATAGAAATATAACACAAGCCACATATGTAAATTTATATAATCTAATAGTTACATTAAAATAGTGTCGATGTAAGAAATGTCCAAAGCTGTACAGAATTTTCATAAGTTTATTTGAACTAAAATTGACAACAGTTGCAGGAAAGCAAGATCTCAAATGCTCCTCAAAATAACAGGTTCCAGCTTCTTATGCAATTGAAATTAAGGAGGGACCTAAGAAAGATTATATGCAGGTGGGAGAAAGCAAGGCGGGATTGGATTACAGGATAGTTAAGATTATGTGCTCTCTTGAGGGTGGTTACAGTTTATTTCAAAGGTGTGTTAACCTAGATGCATAGAAACAATGGACAGGGCTTGCTTAAGGCAAAGATAAAACTTTTACTCAAAAAATTATATGCCTGGGACACGACTACCCACCACAACCTGCCCAGTTAAGACGTTATGATCATAACACCCTGTGAGGTTACTTTCTGTAGAACCTCTTTTTTGTCCAGAAAGGTAAAAAGAAACAGGTAAAATTAATTTTAATAATACACTGTATTTTGTCTAATACATCCAAAATATTATCATTTCTACATGTAATCAATATAATACATTCTAGTTTCTGTCCTAAGTCTTCGAAAAAACAGACGTTTAAACTGTCACACATCTCAATTCAGACTAGCCACATTTCAGAAGCTCAATAGACACATGTGGGTGGTAGCTACTGTATTGGGCAGCAGAGGGCTGTTGGGAAGATTAAAGGAGGTAAGTGTATCTCCTTTGGAAGACGCAAGAGCAAAAGCACTCAGTAGTCTGCAGGCAGAAAACACAGCAATGTTAGCCCCATTTTTCTCCATTCTGTGTGCCCATATAGTTCATTTATCTCTGGATCAACTATGACCGCTTCACCCAGCTTTCTAAAACACTGAATTCCTCACTTCGTTTTTACTTCTTTTACAGAAAGCACAGTGAGGGCACTCAAGACCACCCTGGGGAAGCTACCATCATCTCTGACCTGAACTACTGTAGTAGCTCCTCCAAACAGTATGCCATCACCTGCTCCTGCTCCTGCTCCTTCCAATCTCTCTCCACGGTGGGAATGCTTTTTTAAAAAAGACACAAATCTATAGCATTCACCTTCTTAGAGCTCTAAGGCTGTGGTTCTCAAAATTTTTGGTCTCAGGACATCATAAAAACGAAGGACTCTCGAGCTTTTGTTTATGTGGGTTATAAACTAACTATTTATCATACTAGAACTTAAAACTGAGAAAAGTTTAAAACAGAAGGATACACAGGCACACATTCCATTGGCTGTGAAGGAGATAATGTCAATACACATCATGTAGCTCTGGGAAATTTCACTGTACATTTTTTTAGAGAATGAAAGTGAAAAAGGCAAATAACATTTTAGTGTTATGAAAATAGTCTTAACTTCGTATGCGCAGTGAATTAGTCTCAGAGATCTCTGGGGCAGGGACCACACCAAGAGAACGGGTGCTCTAGAGGCCAAATCCATTCTTCTTGCCCTTGGCACATGAATTTACGGCGCTGGAGCCACTGCTTACCTCTTCAACCCAATCTGGTGCTCTCCAGCACTCTCAATACTCATCACACCTACAGCTCTTCCTTTCCTCCAATGGCCTCTCACCTTCCCTAGGTCCCAGAGTTCTGTTCTCTCTGCCTGGTCCACCCTCGCTCTCCCTGGGCTCCAGACCAGATCAGCCAAGTCATTCCCCTCAGACCGCCGCGTGTCCCTCTTGTGCGGTTCACCACGGTTGTACTTAAGTGATTGTGCGAGTTGTTAAAGCCCGTTTCCCGGACTCTCAGCTCCTCGCAGTTGCAAAAACAAGTCTGTATGTCCACTGCTTTATCTCCCGCATCGGCAGTGGGCCTGGCGCCCACTGGAGGGCGCTCGGTATAAGAAGTTATAGTCCTTTTTTTCATCCTAAGGATTCAAAAACAGGTATAGGGTCAAGTAACTACTGGACGAAGGAAGCGGCGACTTAAGGACCTCCGAGGGGCAGGACCGTGGGCCAGACCGACGCGGGGAGCGAGTCTACTCGGTGGGAATAAAGTTGTGTTCCAGTGCTTCCAACGGCTGTCTCATTCTACCCCAGGGTCCCCTTTCCAAGCACACGACTCTACCAGTCACCTCTAGTCTTTTCCAATTACCCTGACCTCCTGGCGACACCCGATCCCCCTTCGAAACAGCTTGGTGTCAGGTGCCCCTAGCAGCAGGTTCTCCCGGGTGACCAGGGGAGCAGAAACAGAGTCATCCAGCGCCGGAAGCCCCAGAGCATCCACTCTGGAACCGGATGTAACGGCTTCCTGCTCCGCCCCTTGGCGGAGGTGGGGGGGCCCAAGGGCTCTCGGGAAAACCGGGAGTGGATTTAGGGCCGCTACACGCGTGGATGGGGTGTGTAACCCAGCGTGGTGGTGTAACTGGGCCCCTCCCCGCCCAAAACGCGTCCTGCAGGAGTTTTAGGCTTGTGTGGAGGGAAGGGAATGTGATATTCTGCTCTCGCTTTACCCCGAGGCTGGAGACTGGGATCTTTATCTCAATTCAGTGGGGGCGACGTGGGTTCCAGGATCCCCGAATCCGGGGGGTTGGAGGACAGTGGATCTCGGGACCCAAGCTCCTGGGTCCTGGCCCCTGGGCGTCCAGCACTCCCCCTAGTCCGCGGGCCTAACTCTTGTTCTCACTTCCTTCCCTTTTTGGCTCCTGTTCTCGAAGCAGGCGGACGTGGGGGGGCGGGGTGGAGCGGAAAGGGCGGGAGGGCCTGGGAGTCTGGCTGGGGGTGTGGGGGGGTGGGTACAGGGGTGCGGAAAAGCCGGGGAGGGGACTCGGTCCGGGGATTCGGTCGGGGTCTGGAGACTGACGGGAACAGCTGCCGGGGACCCGCGCTACCCCCACCCCTCCCGAGCAGGTCAGAGCCAGAGCACCTTGTGACCCTGCCCGTTCCCGTACTCCTGATCCCCTCATCCCGTAAATACACCAGAGCCCCTCATATTGCACCCCTGTGTGGCCCCCTCTTTAGCCTTCCTTCAGGACTCCCTTCTCGTTACCTAGGCATCCACCTGTGTCTCTCCCCGCTCTCCCGCGCCCACCTGACTCTCCACCCGCGCTCCCCCCCCTCCGTCTCTCCCCAGGCGCCCCCATGGCTCGACCCCACTGACTCCACACTGCCATGCTCCCGCGGCCCCTGCGGCTGCTTTGGGACACAAGTCCCCCCGGGGGAGTCGTGTTGAGCAGCTTCCGGAGCCGAGACCCCGAAGAGGGTGGGAGCCCCGGTGGCCGGGGCGTGGGCGAGGGGCAGGAGGAAGAGGAGGAGGAGGAAGAAGACGAGGTGAGACGTGGGTGGTGAGAGGTTGCGGGGTGATATGTTTCGAAGGCTCCACCTTTCTTTCCGTGTCAGTATCCCTGCATCTCTTCCTCCCTGCCTCAGTTATTTCCGCTCCTCTTGCTGGTGTCTGCCTTTCTCCCTGCTGCGGGGAGTCCCGGCGTTTCTGTGGTTCTCTGTGGCAGTGTGACTCAGGACCTGCCCACAGGAACCTGCCCTGTTACTGCCAGGCGCGTCTGGCTGGCTGTCTGCGGATCTCTGGCCCTCTCCCCTTATACCTTAGTGTGCCTGCCTCTCTAAGCATTCTGTCTTGGACCCTGTCTCCCTCCTTGTTTTTATTTGACGGGGAGTGGTTTGTTTCCACAGTAACCGGCTCCTCTGACTCTGGGATTGGGGAGGGAACCCTTCGATTTCGTGACCCCTCCCCCTCTCCCGCCTGGCACTGAGTGGCGGCGGGAAGCTAAGGTTCTTGGATCTTGGAGAGAAAGTCGTATGCTGAGCCTCGGGTGGTCACCTGCTTTTCCTCTGGTACTAATTAGTGGTAGCTAGGAGCAGGATTTGGGGCCTCAGGAGGGGCCAGAAGTTGGATTTGGGGCCCCGAGGCCCTGGACTCCTGGGTCCAGGGGCTGAGTGAGGGCAGAGTGACTGGCAGGGCTGGTTTTTCGGGATCCGTTGGGGGAGGGGCTGGAGCCACGTGACTCTCAGAGTCTACCCCCCCCCCCCCCACACACACATACATCATCCCCACTTCCCCTTCTTCTTCCTGTACTGGCATCGGAGCCGCCACCTTGAGGGGGTCTCCAGGGACCTGGGAAAGGGGGTTAGGGGAAGGACTAACTCTGAGCTTGGCCAGTTCCTTTGGGGCAGGGCGGAGCATGCGGCTGTGCCTGTGACTGAGGTTTCAGCTTCTCAAGGTCTCTGCTTCTGGCTTTCTGTCTCTCTGGCTTTCCTCTCACCCCTTACACCTTGCTTCTCTGCTGGGTTGGGGTTCAGCTCTGGGGGGAAGGGGCTACGGTAGTCTCCAAGATCAGGGTTCCTGCATTCCACCCCACCACCCGCAACTGCAACCCCCTCTGCTCCACCGGGCCCTGAGGCGGCTTGGGTGGGGCTGTCTGGGCCCCAGTGGGGGAGACCTGGGGTCACCAGCCACCCCCACCCCTCGCACTCGCTGGTACTGTCCCCTGCCGCCACAGGTGAGGGGTACAGAGGGAGGAGTAGGGCCTGGGGGTTAGGGCTGGGGGCAGTAGGAGGTGGTGTGCACCTGTCTGACCTCCCCTTCCTTCTCCTGCAGGCCCCTGTGTCTGTCTGCGATGAGGAGGAGAATGGTGCCACCTTTACTGTCACAAGCCGCCAGTATCGGCCTCTTGATCCCTTGGTGAGATCATAACTTTGGCTTCTCACCTCTGACCCATCACTTCCAGAATGGCCAACTTTCTGGCCAGAGTGCTAGGTTGGAGGTCTGGAGACCTGGACTGTGTGACTTAGGTCAAGTCCTTTTCCTTCTCCAAATCTTAATACAATAAGCCTGGATTATCTCCTAGGTCTGGGGTTTTCCCCAGAGATCTAGGGGCAGAGTTGAAGAAAGGGGCAGTGACTGGCCTTCTGTCTCCCCCAGGCCCCAACACCTCCCCCACGTTCCTCCCGAAGGCTCCGAGCAGGCACCCTGGAGGCTCTGGTCAGACACCTGCTGGATGCCCGGACATCAGGGACTGACGTGACTTTCACAGCAACCTTCCTGGCCACCCACCGGGCCTTCACCTCCACATCTGTCCTGCTAGGGCTTATGGCTGACAGGTCAGGGTCATAAGGGACCACAGGTTGTAGAGGTGTCTGGACTTTCTAAAGCCAGAATATCCCACCAAAATAGTCAAAGCCTCTGGAGATTTGGTAAAAATGGACAAATAGAATCTCTCCCACTCCCCAGGCTGGAAGCCCTTGAATCTCATCCTACTGATGAACTGGAGAGGACAAAAGGGTGAGTGACTCGGATTCTTAACCTCACAGTCTCCTCTGCCTGAGCTGCCGCTTGACATCTGACCCCTGGCCGATTCCCCTTCTCCCAGGGTAGCCATCTCTGTGCTGTCAACCTGGCTGGCCTCTCACCCTGAGGATTTTGGCTCTGAGGTCAAGGGTCAGCTTGACCGGCTTGAGAGCTTCTTGCTTCGGACAGGGTATGCAGGAGGGGAGGGTGTTGGGGGTGGCAGCGCTGACCTCATCCGCAACCTCCGGTCCCGGGTGGACCCCCAGATCCCCGACCTTCCTAAGCCCCTGGCCCTCCCCGGCGATCCCCCTGCTGACCCCACGGATGTCCTGGTGTTCCTCGCTGACCACTTGGCCGAACAGCTGACCCTGCTAGATGCGGTGAGACCCTGACCTCTGACCCCCATGCCCCCTTCCCCCTTACTAACCTTTCCCTGACTCCAGATCCTTTTTTCCCAACCCTTCCTGATCCAGCTCCCAGCCTCTTCCATCCACCCAGTTTTGTCCTTTCCCCATTTCCCCTTGGTTGTTACCCTTCAAACCCTGTGCCCCTCTAGTTCCTTGGCCACCTGAGAGCCTTACACCCCTAACATTCGAAGGCTGACTTCTCTTGGCTATGAACTTTAATCTCTGACTTCTACCCCACAGGAGCTGTTTCTCAATCTGGTCCCCTCTCAGTGCCTGGGGGGGCTGTGGGGTCACAGAGACCGGCCAGGACATTCCCACCTCTGCCCATCTGTCCGAGCTACTGTCACACAATTCAACAAGGTGGCAGGGGCAGTGGTCAGCTCTGTCCTGGGGGCTACCTCAACCGGAGAGGAGCCTGGGGAGGTTACCATACGGCCACTTCGTCCTCCCCAGAGGGCCAGGCTCCTGGAGAAGTGGATCCGAGTGGCAGAGGTAAGAGACAATTGCCCCTGTTGGGGACCATGGTGTGGAAAGAGGTCCCACAGCTCCCTCTGTGACCCCCATAGGAGTGCCGTCTACTCCGAAACTTCTCTTCAGTTTATGCTGTCGTGTCAGCCCTGCAGTCCAGCCCCATCCACAGGCTTCGGGCAGCCTGGGGGGAAGCAGCCAGGTAGGGAGGATGGGGCACTGGACTGGGATGAGGGCTGGGGAAGGGAGTTGTTGAGCCAGGCCCATCCTCAAGTCTGCTGCCCTCTATCCCCCAGGGACAGCCTCAGGGTCTTCTCCAACCTCTGTCAGATTTTCTCTGAGGAGGATAATTATTCCCAGAGCCGGGAGCTACTCTTGCAGGTGAGGCTCACGAGGCTTGTTCCCTGGAGTTCCTAGCCATCCCTGCTTCCCCTCCCACCCTCATATCTCTTTGTTTTGTCAACCCTAGGAGGTGAAGGTGCGACCCTCTCTGGAGTCAAATTCCAAGAAAGCCCCGAAGTCTGGCTCCCGGGGCGGGGTAAGTGCCTAGGGAGGTTGCTTATGAAGGATTGTGTGTGGGGAGCAGTCTGAGGGACAGAAAAGGAAGAAACAGTGGGGTGAGGAGAATTCACTTGTCCTTTGCGATAATGGGATGGGAAAGTGTGGAGGGATGGAGAGCCCTCAGGTCAGTGGCAGGAGTGTCTGACTCTGACCTCTGACTTCAGGGTGTGGTCCCATACCTTGGCACCTTCTTGAAGGACCTGGTGATGCTGGATGCAGCCTCCAAGGATGAGCTGGAGGTCAGTGGTGTGTGTGTTTGTGTGTTCAGTGCAGTGATGGAATGAGTGGGCCTCGGGGTCAGACAGTTGTTCCTCCAGAAAGGAATTGCAGGCATGAGCACTGAGGATTCACAAAGACTTGAGCCAGAGTGCCAGGGTTCTGGTTCTGTTACTTTGGCAAGTTGCTTAACCTCATTGTGCCTTAGTGATCTGTAAATGAGAAACTAGTGACAGGGTCTACATCAATCTGTTATTATGAAGATTAAGTGAATTAATATTTAGTGGGTGCTTGGAACATGCGTGAAATATAAGCATATATAGAGTTTATTAAATATATATATATATATATATATATATATTGGACAAGTTCCTGATCCTCTCTGAGCCCTAATCTTTTCATTGGTAAAGTAGACACAATTTCTACCTGAAATATTCAATTTAGAGGGTAAGGTAGCATGCTTAGGGAATGATAGATGGGAGGGGAGGTTGGGGAGGGGTGGTAGAGTCAGAGAGGGTGGGTAGTGTGTGTAAGCTGGATATGGTTATGCCTGTGTTTAGCAGAGGACATAGTCTCTGTGGCAGGTTTGGGACTCTCACTCTCTTCCTCCTATCCTTGCAGAATGGATACATCAATTTTGACAAACGGAGGAAGGTGAGGGGAGAGCCTGGGCTGGATGCTAGACATCCCTAGCCATGTCCCAGAAAGGGGAGAGAAAGGGGAGTCAGGGGTCCTTGAATTTTGGCTCCTACAGTCTGAGGGCCCCTTTCTAGGAGTTTGCTGTCCTTTCTGAGCTGCGGCGGCTTCAGAATGAATGTCGTGGCTATGACCTTCGACCTGACCCCGATATTCAGCAGTGGCTACAGGGGCTCCGGCCACTGACAGAGGCCCAGAGGTGACTGGCTGGGTGAGGTTGGGACTTCAGGGCTCAAGCAGGGTGTGAGGGGCTATGTGTCACATCCTGACCTCTGCCCATTGCCTCTTTCCCCAGCCATCGAGTATCCTGTGAGGTGGAGCCACCTGGTACCAGTGACTCTCCTGCCCCTCGAGTACTTCGGCCAACGCTGGTCATCTCACAGTGGACAGAGTGAGGCAGTCAGCAGTTGGGGGGTAGTGTCTTGGGGACTTGCCTTCTTCCTCTGATGCTCCCAATCTTCTGCCACTCCAGGATTCTGGGCTCTGTTGGGGGTCCCACCCCCCTTGTCTCCTGGGACCGGCCCAGTGTTGGGGGAGATGAGGTGTCTGGAACCCCCGCTCCTCTGTTGACCCGGTTGGCCCAGGTGAGCTTTGCTCCATAACTCTGACCTCGGCACTGACCCTGACTCTGTGAATGTTTCTTCCTTGACTTCCCTGCCTTCATGTCAGTCCCCCATGTTATTTGTCCCCAGCACATGAAGTGGCCATCTGTCTCATCCTTGGACTCTGCCCTGGAAAGCACTCCATCCTTGCACAGTCCGGCTGGCCCCAGCCACCTCTCTCCCCCAGCATCCTCCCCTAGACCTTTGCGAGGTCACCGCCGCTCAGCCTCCTGTGGTTCCCCACTCAGTGGGGGTGCAGAAGGGGCCTCCAGGGGGACTACACACGGGGGAGGGGGCTCTGGGCCAGAAGCTTCTGATTGTGGAATCATCAGAGTCCAGATGGAGCTGGGGGAAGACGGCAGTGTCTACAAGAGTATCTTGGTGAGGGAGCTGTGGGCTGGGAGGTGGGGGTGAAGGATGAGGGCTTGTGGGACTATAGATGTTGTTTTAGGTTTGAACAGCCAAATGAGAGGATATTCTAGTTTTAATTGTGACCTTTGGTTTTACCAGCTACATTTTATTTTGAAGGGTACTCGGCATTACCTGCTGCACCTTGAACTTTTGTTGGCCATATTAGGTTTTCAGAATAAACAGCAGTTTCCCCACAGGGAAGCAGCCTTATTTCACTGGGTACCATGTGGGCTGGCCTATGGAGTACAGGGAGACACCATATTGGGTTACCCTGTTCACTCTAAAGTATTACACACGGGTAACTTTTGGTTGGGGATCAGTGGCTGGGGTTGGAAAGATGGGAAGCAGGGGTCATTACGGCCAATTTGTTGTTCTTTTGGTCTTGTTTTGCCAGGTGACAAGCCAGGACAAGGCTCCAAGTGTCATCAGCCGTGTCCTTAAGAAAAACAATCGTGATTCTGCAGTGGCTTCAGAGTATGAGCTAGTGCAGCTGCTACCAGGGGAGCGAGGTCAGAGGCAGACTCAGGAAGAGAGTGGTATCCACCTGTGGGAATGCTTCTATATCCAGGTGGTTGTTGGAGGAACAACTGTGTGTGTGCTTGACACCCCCTCTCTTAACCTACAGAGCTGACCATCCCACCCTCGGCCAATGTCTTCTATGCTATGGACAGAGCGTCACATGATTTCCTCCTGCGGCAGCGGCGAAGACCCTCTACTGTTACACAGGGCCTTGCCAGCGGCCCCTCTGCCTCAGGAACTCCCCCAAGCGAGGGAGGAGGGGGTTCCTTTCCCAGGATCAAGGCCACAGGGAGGAAGATTGCCCGGGCGCTGTTCTAAGAAGGAAGCTCTCTTGGTTCAGAGAACTCTTGGTGGCCATACCAGGTGTGTGTAGTCATGCTGAATGGTGGCAGTTATGTGCTGCATTGAGAAGAAATCCAGAATAGTGGCCACTCTGGGGCAGTGAAGTGCCACTAGCTTATCAGACAGTCAAGAGATCCAGCACTGTGGGAACTGGTAATCTTGGTAACCAAGATGGATACCCGTGTATAGCTCCCTACTTTCCATGAACGCAGCACATGGTTAGTACTGGAAAAAGGAATCACTTTGATTCCTGGCCACATCCTAGCATGCCAAGGGCTAAGGGAAGGCCTAGAAGTAGGGGGGAAAAAGAAAAATCTAGAGGCCCTGAGCTCCAAGGAGAGGGGATGGAAAGTAGGTTCTAGTAGGAGTTCCTCTTCCTACTCGGGGGTGGGGGGGGTTCTTGTCACTGTGATAACACTAATAAACCAGAACACTACCTGAATTCTACTCTGTCCTTGCAGTGTATGAACTAGCTGCTGGGAGTGGGGGTGGGGGGCTGGCTGAAATTTAGATGCCATGGAACAGGAAGGGTCCCAATGTTTTCTATTCCCATAATGAACTGAAAACAAGGTGTTGGTGAAGTTTCCTTAGAATGATTCATTTCTCCCTAGCAACCTCTCCATCCCTTTATTTGCTCTTAAATTTTTCTTAGCTGTCACAGACCCATGTCAAGTACTAGTCACCCAATTAAAGTGATCCCCTGGCTGCAAATTTGTGAGAACGAATTTTAGGACAAAGAAACAGAAAAACTACTTTGTGGGCAATGTACAAACTTGGAGAATTTATAAAATCACAGAGCACGTGGTGGAATTTTAAATCAGTCTATGCTACATTCAAACAAATTCTAGGAAGAGAGAACTAAAAAGAACTAAGATGCCAGGGAGTTTTGGAGGGTAAGAAATCAGCAATCTTTCATCCTGGGGGTCTCAGGTTGGAGAATTGAGTTCTTCAATTAAACTGACCTTCCCAATAAACGCCCTTTTCATGTTGTAAACGCCCTTTTCATGTTGCCTAAAGGGGTGTGCCAACCATGATAAGGGAGAGTTAAGGGTTTTACATACCCACAAGAAGGAAGTTTGAGACAACTCAGATTTTAGTCTCAAGAAAGAAGGATGGATTACTCTGCTACGGAGATTCCAGTTGAAGAATATGGACCTAAGGGACTAACAGGTGGTGTATACATAAAGTGGAAGGGGCTGAGGGAATGAATGGAGACAATTATGACAAACGTGGTTAGAAAACGGCCAGGTGTTTTCACATTTTATTAGCTACAGTATAGACCCTAGAGCTGCCTCATTTCCTCCTCCCCCTCCCCTGCCCCACCCCTACGGGGTCAAGCCTTCCCAGAAGCCCCTGCCTTTGCTGCCTGGGCCCGCTGGAACTCCTGCTGCAGCTGAGCAAGGGTCTCCCTCTGTTGTTCTGATTGCCGCTCGAGGTCCCGGAGCTGGGATTCATAACGCTTACTGAAGAGAGACGAGAGACAAATAACAAGAAATGGGACTGAGAATACTGAAGGCAAGAAAGAGATCTGTGAAAACCTGATATCTAGGGGAGGGAGGGGAAGAGGAATAAAGGAGAAAGGATTGGAGGAAATGGATAATTGGGCTACACTGGAGAGCTACTCTACAATGGTTCCTCAACATCTACTCCAGTGGTGTCAGATACATCACAGGGTGGTGGAAAAAAGACTCACATTTCAGCTGTGATATAGTCCAGTCTCTTCCCCACTGTGGCCCGAGCTTCCCCTAGCTCCTGTTTGACCAGCACGGGGCCCAGAAGTTTAAAGACCACGTTGGACCCATCCAGCAGGGCCAGTTCCTGATGGTGGGAAGGGACACATGATCAGAATCACTGCCAATAGTCTCTTCTCACCCCACAAATCCCAGTATCTCACCTCCTTCACGATATTATTTTCTGTTAGTTGTGCTTCAAGCTTCTGCCGCCCTGACATGGATTTACTCAAGTCTGGTTTTGGATGGAAGTGTGGGTGGGAGAAAAGACTCAATTAGAGACGTCAAATGTGCCACCCGACCCACAATCCTACTCAGAAGAAAATGAAGCTGAGGAAGTAGACATGGATGAAGGCGGCGCGTCAGGGGGTGGGGAAGAGTACTGAGGTAAGAACGCTGCACGCGGGTGCCCGGGTAGGGCAGAAAACATGATCTTGGTATGGCTCTGGGTTCGGAGTGAGTGAAGGGATTGGGGCGAGGATACACCGACCCTGCTCCCTTACCCTTCTGTAGCTGTTGATATTTCTCCACTTCTCCCTGTAGCTTCTTCTGGATCAGCTCAGCCATGGCGGAGACGAAAGCCTGTGGAAGAGGGGCGCTGGGTCTCACACTCTGGAAGGTACCCGAGCTCCCTTTAATAGTCTAGATTGTGGTAATGACAACACTCTTGAGAGGCAGCCTCTCGGGGCACCGCAGCCTCTCCCCGTCCGGATATCGAATCTACCTAGGCCTCAAGAAGTGAAGGTTGAAACGAGACCCCAAAGCCCTCAACCGAAACCCTGCCCCACTCACGCTCTCCCTTTAGTATTCATAAACTCGGAAGTAAACAAAGAATGCTGGGAAAAGAGGGTGCCGGAAGCTGTCCTCTGACGCATGCCGGGAATTGTAGTTTTGGCGTGTTTAATGAGCGGCGTTCTGCTAAAAAGACCGGACTCGACAAGTTCTAGGCAATATGGGGAAACAAAGCTGGTAAAAAGAAACTGCACCGTTTCTTGGGCCTTGGTCCCGGTGTTGCCTTTTGTTACTCAGGCATAAGATACCATTCTGGAGGGCAGGGCCAAGGCTTGCCCCGCCCCTCAACGGAGAGCGCGCCCTCATGCAAAATGGAGCCTAGAAGGCTTCAGACCTGGTATAGCGCTGATTGGTTGAGGGCCGGAGGGCTTCCGGGAGGTCCCAGTCCACCGTCTGACGGCTGAGAAGAGTTTGCACGTGGATCGTCGTTCGAGTGGGCTAGATGGAGACAGCCCCCGAGCCGGGCAGCGATGTTCCGCCCAAGAAGGGCAAATTTCAGGCCAAGAAGAAGGTAGAGATCTTCTCGGGGTGGAAGAAAAGTTTTCAGCTGCGGGGTTGGAGGGGCGGGGCACGGGCAGCGGAGCATCAGGGCTCCTGTTCTGTCCGTAGAAAGTGCGGCGATACTGGGAGGAAGAGGCCACACCGACCGCTGCTGGAGTCTCTCTAGGGCTCCCTCGTAACAAGAAGAGGAATCGAGAGCTCCGCCCCCAGAGGCCAAAGAACACTCACACCCCAAACAAGTCTCACATCTCCAAGAAGCCCCAGGTCCCGAAGAAACGCCGAGAACGGAGGAATCTTGAGCCTCAGCGGAGCTTGTCCGGGGTGAGCCTGGGACTTGATAGGGTGGCGGGGCAAGTCGCCTTGAACTTTGAGAGTGCGAATGTTGGGGTCAACCCGAGCCTGTCAGCGAATTGCCTCCTCTCTGTCCCAGGCCCAGGACCCATTCCCAGGCCCCGCCCCTGTCCCCGTGTCTGTGGCTCAGAAGTTCCGTCGCATTGACAAATCCAGAAAGGTGAGGACCAGCCTTAGAGTGGGGTTGCAGGCTGGGAGAGTCTGGAGTTGGATGGAGGCGAGACCAGGTGGCTCTCTTGTGACCCCACACATCCTTTGGTTCTTTTCTCCCTCGCCCACCAACACTGTTATAGCTGCCACCTTCTAAATCCAAAACCAGAAGCCGACTTGAGGTGGCTGAAACTGAGGAAGAGGAAATAAGTGTCAAAGCTGCTCGTTCGCAGCTGCTGCTTGCTGAGGAACCTGGGTGAGTGGCCCTTAATATGGGTGACCCCAGACATTGCTTTATTAAGAGACTGTCCTTTGTCATTTTTATGTTGGTACACTCATTTCATATTAGCCCTAACACTCACTTGCAGGTTTCTGGAAGGTGAGGATGGAGAAGACACAGCGAAGATATGCCAGGCAGACATTGTGGAGGCTGTGGACATTGCAAGTGCAGCCAAGGTGCTCCTGAGGCTGGGAAAGGGGCCAGTGCATTGGTGGTGCAGAGCAGGAGGGAAGTGGAGATTAATAGAGGGAATTACTGAAGTGAGCCAATTCTTTCTTGATTTATTTTTATTTATCTATTTCTTTACATTTTTATTATTATTATTTTTTTATGCCTACAGTACCTGGTCTTCCTAGGTGGTCTCCCATCCAAGTACTAACCAGGCCCAACCCTGCTTAGCTTCTTAGATCAGACGGGATTAGGTGTGTTCAGGGTGGCATGGCAGTAGACTGATTTTTTTTTTTTTTTTTAAACTCTTAACTTTCTCAGCACTTTGACTTGAATTTGCGGCAGTTTGGACCCTACCGGCTGAATTACTCTCGAACTGGGAGGTAAGGTTGTATTCCAGTGCCTCTTGAACTGAGATGTGGTCATGTCTCCTTAACCACTTCAGTCTTGCTAGTGTATGTTTGGGTTGTCGATGTGGGGAGTGTCTGGTGATTTTCTTGTATCTGAGGGTGAGCATGTATAGTGACATCTCTCATCTCTCCTCTCACCTGGAGAGGAAGGGCTGACATGAGGCTGATCTCCAGTGGTCTGAGGATGCTCTCCTGCATTGACACCTTGCTTGTTCCCCACTTCCAACAGACACCTGGCTTTTGGAGGGCGCCGGGGTCATGTGGCCGCCCTTGACTGGGTGACAAAGAGGCTCATGTGTGAGATCAATGTCATGGAGGCAGTGCGGGACATCCGGTCAGTGGCCTGTTAGTGGTCAGTGGAGGTGAGACAGCCCATTCCTGATCGAATGACAGCCGTGACCCCCTTTCCCATTGAGCCACTTCTCCCCTCCTCTCAGGTTTCTGCATTCTGAAGCACTGCTTGCTGTCGCTCAGAATCGCTGGCTTCACATCTATGACAACCAGGGAATTGAGCTCCATTGCATCCGCCGCTGTGATCGCGTCACACGGCTTGAATTTCTGCCTTTCCACTTCCTCCTGGCCACAGCTGTGAGTGGCTGTGCAGCATAGGACTGGGTGGCAGCCCCTGAGAAGACCTTGGTAGAGGGAGGACAGAGAGTAATCAGGACTCTCCCTCCCTCTTTTCCTCTCTCCCTCCCTCTTTTCCTCCCTCCCTCCCTCCCTCCCTCTCTTTCTCTCTCTCACACACAGTCAGAAACAGGGTTTCTGACCTACCTGGATGTGTCAGTGGGGAAGATTGTGGCAGCTCTGAATGCTCGGGCTGGACGGCTCAATGTCATGACCCAGAACCCTTATAATGCTGTCATCCATCTGGGACACAGCAATGGTTAGTCCCTGGCTGAACTTTGACTCTCTGATCATCTTGACCTGCTTTTTTTTTTTCTTTCTATATTTGTACTTCACGAATCCGTTAAAGTTGCCCTGTTACCTCTCTCTTGTTACCTCTTGGCCATGAGTCCCCATCTTTCCCAGGTTTAATCACCTCAGTGCCCCATTAGTAACTTTATCTCTTCTCCTCTGACCTCCAGGTACTGTGTCTTTATGGAGCCCAGCTGTGAAGGAGCCACTGGCAAAGATTCTCTGTCACCGTGGTGGGGTCCGGGCTGTGGCAGTAGATTCTACAGGCACGTAAGTCACTTGTTTGGGCATGAGGTGCTGGGGTCACAGCTGGGCAGAAAGATATGGAAGGCAGTGTGCCTATAGGAGCACAGACTGCAGTCAAACTGCCTGGGTTTAAATCCTCGTGCCATGTAAGTGTAGGCACATTACATAACCTCTGTGTGCCACAGTGTCTACTAATGGGAAGAATTAGATTCCTCTTTTTGAGGATAACATTTTGCTTAACTGAGGTTCAGTTAGTGTTCTAAATCATCAAACTTGATTGCAGATATTTATGTTAATGCTGATCTGTAGAGGGATTTTACATATTTTATCTTCAAAAACATCTTTTCATATAGATAGGTAATGAGATAGACATCAAATGCTGAAAATACTGTCAAGTTATAACCATGTCACTGCGACTTGCAGTGCACCAAGCAGTAGTGCGAAGCAATCAGATGCCATGCAGTCTTGACCACTCTTCTGTGTTGTAGCACAAAAGCAGCCACAAGATAATGAATGTAGTTGTGTTCCAATAAAACTTTATTTGTGGACACTAAAATATATATTTCATATGATTTTCATGTCTTTGATTTTTTTTCCAACCACTTAAAAATGTAAAAACCGTTCTTAGTTTGTGGGCAGTACAGAAATAGATGGTGGGCTAGGTTTGTTTGGAAGTGGTTTGTCAAGGCCTAGGAAAAACTCATAAAGCTGATGTAGACATTAAAGCAAGTTAAGGTCTATAGAGTTTAGCATGGTGCCTAGTGAATAGGGAGCATTGCATTTCATCATTGTCATCATTAAAGATGATTGTTCCTTTTAGGTCTGGCTGGTGGTGTGAGTGGTAGGGGTGGTGGGTCTGTTTTGAATTTCTGAGAGAGCGTTTGCATTTCATAGCTGTTCTGAGTTGTTTGTCTGGATCTGGAGGACAGTTTCTCACACAAGTTCCCGTTTGTTTTCCTCTAATTATTTTCATTCATCAGGCCTTCACTGGGCTCTGGGTTCTGTGCTAAAGTTATGGGGATATAAGGATGAATCAGCCATTGAGCCTGCCCTGGTGCAGTGTTCCAGTTACTTTTTTTTTTTACAAAAACAGATAGCAGTAGTTAGGGAACAATTGGCCGGGTGCTGCATTTAGTTTCTTCTCAATTGTCTTCTATCACCCCAGACTTGATGTGTCTATCACTGAATTAGACACCTCACTCCCAAGGTTCCTCCTTGCCTGTTCCTTTTCTGCCACATTTTCCTTCCATTCACAATTTGGCTTCTTTAACACCTTTAGCTAGCTACACAGCCCCATGTTCTTCAGCCATCAGGAATAGCAGGAATCAAAAGCACTGTTTACTGAATGCTTTCTGGGTGCCCAGGCTACTTGCTACTTGGTTTGGTGGCATTACCTCATTTCTATTCATGACCCTTTGTGAAGTCCTCAAAGTCTGTTTCTCTCCATCCTTGCTGTCTCAGTGGTCCTGTGTGAGCTCACAGCCAGTTCCCAGGCTCCATTTCTTCCTCCTGGCATGTTCTTGGGGAGCGTCAAATAACCTTTTTCACAAGCTGCTTTCCTCTTTTTACACTGCTGCTCAGGAATCTTCTCAGGAAACTACGTAACTTTATTTTTAAGTTGTTTTAAAGAAAATCAGGAAAAGCCCAGTGGCTACCAAATTATGAAAGCCTTCCAGAGGCTCAGACACCTTAGACTCCTAGAGTTGTATTTTTTGGGACAAGTGATATGGTTCTGCCCTTTTGACTCCTTTCTGTGCCAGACTGGCTCTAGGAGAGTGGGGAGGCCTGTCCCACGGCTTTCTGCCTTTTGTGCGCCACTGGACCTGAGCTGTAGTTTGCCTTCTGGGGGCTCCCTGGGTCAGCTGGTCCTGTGCCTAGGGCGTAGTCAGTTCACTGCAGTTTGGTCAACACTTAGATATTGAACAGCTCTGGTCTTTGCTCTTAGGCCCACTCCCACTTATCTCTAGTCCTCAGGAGCACATCAGACAAGCCACAGGGGCTCCAGAGCCGAGGCTTACTTCTTCCTTCAGAGGCTTTCTGAAGCTTGCATTAGGATTGGATTGGATTTTCAAGGCTGAAGTATTTTACAAGCTTAGTAGTTTCGTAGTGTGGCCTGGATGTGCATCTGCCCAGTGGGGTGGTATTTGCGTAGAGGCTCCCAAAGGTGGGTGTGTGTGGGGAGAGGAGCCAGCATGTGCCTGAGTTGCTGGTTCACTCAAGAGTGTGACCCTGTGTTTTAGGAGACCTCAGTAATTCCTGGTTTGCACTATTGGCATTGCCCTTTGGTGGAATTGGGGCCCTGATTGTCTTGTCAGGAAAAGTATCCTGCTGGGCCTCTATTTGGCCCTCATCACAGGGCAAGTCTCTGTTCATAGGAACCCCTCCTCTTGAGTTCACAGCCAAGGTTAAAAAGACAGTCCTGAGCCCTTTGGCAAACATGTATCTCCGGGCCTGGCTGGTCCTTCTTCAGCCTTTCTCTCTTAAGGACCAACTTGAACGTAGGTAGAAACTCCAACCTCTGAAAATAAACAAGTGCAGTGCACGATTCCTTGAGAGGATCTGGTCACCAACCTTGTTCTTCTTCCTTTGGAGAAAGAGGGATTAGGGTAGGGCCTTTTAGGACATTTCTCATCACCTCTGAAGGTTTTCTCAGATCCATGCAGTCTTCAGTTGTGGCTTGTCATTGCTGAAGAGCAATGTTGGGGGCATTGGGTCCTCAATATGACTTGAAAGAGCCCCTGCAATTTGTTCCCTCCTGGCCATATTTCCCACCAATTCTGAAAACAAACCTGTGTTTGTCTCACCGTCTCCATACTCTGATAATTCATTTGTACCTGTTATATGTTTCTCAGGTTTTCTTGAGAATTACCTAGGATGGTTCATATCCCAGTTTTCCTACAAAGTCTTCCCTGACCACTGCAATTGATCCTTCCTGATCTTTCCCTTTGCTGAGCCATTGTGCTGCCTGTGTGGTGGAACATTACATTTAGGTACACATTGTCATGTGTGTTCTCCATTTGGTTCATGTGTCTTGAGTAGGTTAGAGGGAAGATGCTAAAGAAACAGGCCTGCCTTGAGTTCTAGCTTTACCACTCACCTTGATTTCCTTTCTCTAAGCTTCAGTTTCCTATCTGTAAAAGGAAAATAAAAATAGTAACGTGTAACCAAGAGGTTGTCTGTGGAGTGTTCAGTGTGAGAGTAGTGATTACTATTATTAGCCTTTTTCTCCCCAACCAGACTTGATGCCTGGACTTGGCCACAGGCCTGCTTAGTAATCCCTTACTGCAGATTTATTGATTCCCACTCTTCCCTCAGGCACATGGCCACCTCTGGTCTGGACCACCAGCTGAAGATCTTTGACTTGCGAGGGACTTTCCAGCCTCTGAGTGTCCGGACCCTGCCCCAGGGAGCAGGGCACCTGGCCTTTTCCCAGCGGGGACTGCTGGCTGCGGGAATGGGTGACGTGGTCAACATATGGGCAGGGCAGGGCAAGGCCAGCCCACCCTCCCTGGAACAGACCTACCTTACCCACCGGCTCTCAGGCCACGTGCATGGCCTTCAGTTTTGCCCCTTTGAAGATGTGCTGGGAGTGGGGCACAGTGGGGGCATCACCAGCATGCTAGTCCCTGGTGAGTGGGCCAGGGGATGAGGCTCAAAGTGAATGAACTCTGGATGGAAGTTTGAGTGGGCCTGAGACAGACAGGAGCAAGGGGCTTGGTTAGGCTAAAGTGATGGATTGGGTTTAAGTTTATCACCCCATGTTCCTCCCTCCCTCCAGGGGCTGCTGAGCCTAATTTTGATGGCCTAGAGAGTAACCCATACAGGAGCCGAAAGCAACGCCAGGAGTGGGAGGTGAAGGCCCTGTTAGAGAAGGTGAGCACGTGCCCATGTGTGTTTTGGGCTTGGAGGTGGGGAAAGCTCCCTTGCTGTGGGTATTGGGAAGAGTGCGATTTAGCAGCCTCCTTGGCTTTAGGGTCACCCACCTTACTCATTCCTTTCCCTCTGTGACACCTAGGTACCTGCAGACCTCATTTGTCTGGATCCACGAGCCCTGGCAGAGGTTGATGTCATCTCTTTGGAGCAGGAAAAGAAGGAACGGATAGAGAGGCTGGTAAGGAGCAGGCCTGAGTGCACAGGCACATCCTCCTCCACCATGTCACCAAAAATGTGGCACAGAAAGTGGGTGCTGCCACAGTTCCCTGTCTCTGAGGTTTATAGATTTCACTCCTATCCCCTCCCCCAGGGCTATGACCCAGAGGCCAAGGCTCCCTTCCAGCCAAGGCCCAAGCAGAAGGGCCGCAGCTCGACAGCAAGCCTGGTGAAGAGGAAGAGGAAGGTCATGGATGAGGAACACCGGGTAAAGGAGCATTTGGGGATGGGGCAGGCCTCCTATGGGCTGTATCCTCCTTCTGCTTGTGCCTCTGGCCTTACCAGCCTGCCACTTCTCACCTCACCTGTTTTGCCACCTCAGGACAAAGTCCGGCAGAGCCTTGAGCAGCTGCAGAAACAAGAAAAAGCAGCCAAGCCCATGGGAGTTCGGCCATCTGCCCTGGACAGATTTGTGTGCTGAGCCAGGTTCCAGAGTGGCCTGAGAACAACAGTCTCCCCTAAAGATCACCTGTGGTTAAATGACCCTGTTCCCTGGAAGGAGGAGGGGGCAAGTGTCCCTTCCCCAACTGGGAGTGGACAACTAGCTTCTGGGGTGGCTTGGTATTAAAGAGGAAGTTGGGTTTTCTGGATAATGTATTTGGATTGTTCTGTGGATCTGTCCCTTTTCTTTGCCCAGCATGGGGCTACTCTCGGTCCAAGGGGTTATGGTGTCCTGCCTTTACACCCACCCCATATCTTGTGGTCACTGTGGCTTTAGCCTTGCTCTTTAGGGGCCTTTCTCCTCAGTGAGGCTGTCCTCTCTCTCCCAAGTCCCTGGAGATGTCTTTCCCATCAAGCAGGGTCTGGCATCCTTCAGGTTTGTGTTCTGGGATTCCTGGTGAGGACCACACTGCACTCGAAGAGGTAGAGAAACAAGTTTATTGAGGGGCTCGTGCCCCTCTCCTGCCATCGCTGGTAAGAATGACCCCAGCATTGTTTTGCTCTTCTTGATGACCATCTTTGGGGCTAGGAGGCCAGGCCCCTAGGTTTCCCCTATATCCTTCAGTCTTTAGTGACAGACTGAGCATCTGGTATGGGGAAACTGATCAGCTGCAACCAGTTAGGCTCCTCTTGCCTTGGGCCTAGGAGAAAGTAGGTCAGGGTGCTGACTGGACTCTCAGATCCTTACTCCTCTCCTATGGCCCAGGTACTCTCAGCTGTGAAGCCAGGCTATTACCCGACACCGCAGGATGCCCAGGATTCCCTGGAGCCAGGAGCAGAAGGGTGCAGTCCTTTCCCCATCAGAGCCACCCACCAGCTTCCAGGCTTCCTGCATCTTCCAGGGGTCCAACCTGTGGGATGTCAGCAGGA